AGAGGTTACTATCATGGATTAGTGGGACAGGACAGGAAGCCCATATTACACTATAGGATACCACCTTTTAAGCCTTTTACTACCCAAACCATATAACCAACTTCAGTAGAAAAGGCAGAAAAAAGCAACTTAGGTATGGGTTTTGTGACTATAAAAGAACTAAAAGAAGAAAATAAAAATACACATTGTTAGGCCACAGATTAGGAAAACATACAATTCTATGCATAATACCTATATCACATAAATATTAATTATAATAATTCTGTTTTGGATATGCACATTTTTCTTTAAGTGACCTTAAAGACTACTTCTATTACTTATTAATTGCTTCTATTTACTTAAAAATATCTCTACTTGAAATTTTCAGGCTATGTTTCTCTGATTTATTTACCATAGAAAAGCTAAAGTAATAATAATTAATTACTTTCCTTAGCATAAAAGCAAAATAAGGATGGTATTCACTTGTCCTGACTGCTAGAGTTGATCATATAATTTTAAACCAATATTGTATTTGTGACATTACATGTAAGTTGTACACAGGTGTGTGTGTGTGTGTGTGTGTGTGTGTGTGTGTGTGTTTTCTGTGGGGTAGCTAATATTGCAGTTAAGCTGGCAAGACGATTAGAAAATATTAATTTCATAGCCTCAGAACTTCATAACCTCTTTTACTCTGAAATCTTTGCCTCAAACACTCCTACCTTGATAAACTCCTTCCCACTGCTTGAATCTTGTCCTCCGTCTCACCTTTCCATACAACCCTGAGCTGAATGCCTCTTCTAGCCTTGGCCATCCTCTGCCTGTAACTGTGCCTCCCCAACACTTACAACTTGATTTGAAATGATCTGTAGTTACAGCAGCCTCTTCTACCAGTCTTTCAGTGCTCTGGGAAGCTTACCAACTATTGCAACCTTGTAGGTTAGCACAATGTCAGTGCAAAATGTGTATTAATAATACTGTTCTTCCAATGTTAGATTAGTATTTCAATCATTAAATCCTCTTCTTTTAAACTACCTTACACAATGTTCATCCTGCACAACTGACAGTTCCAGAACAATAAGAAATGCATTATTTTCATCACATTTCCCAGATCATCTCTTTAGTTCATCAAAACTTGTCTAAATCAGTATTTCACAGTTTTACCTTCCAGTTAGGCAGCCTGTGAGAGATGGTGTTAAGGGTCTAAGAGGGAGACAGCATTCAACTGAGGAGCATACAGGTGCTGGGGGCAAACTGCAGGCCACATGGTGAGTGATTGTTTTACCTTGCGATGTTTCCATTTTCCTGTCAGTCAGGACTAACAGCAATAATACTCAGAGAGGGCTGTTGTCAGGATTTGCTGATATTACACATAGAATTTAGAACATTTAATAGACTACTTATTAAGTACTAAGAACATATTAACTATGTTATTCAGCAAAGTGGACAGTTTTCTTTTTGGTTGGCTTTATTGTTTTGTTTCCTCTAGAACTGCTGAGAATCTTTAAGGTTCTAATATACCTGTGACTCTCCAGGTAAGCAACATTTCACAAATTTATTTCATGGAAGATCTATTGGCATAACCCAAAGTAGTGTGCTTTAGAATATACTTTGGGAAACTCATATTTAATACATTCTTAAAAACATTAACATTTTCTGCACCAAAATAGGGACATCAGTTTGACAAGTATGAATGTAAGTTGGGGGAACTGGAGCATAGTATTTGAAATGAGGATTGCTCTAGAAATTAGAAACAAACAGGTTTTTCAAAACCTCCAAGGCCTATATTGTAATGCATTTTAAGATCTCTCTTTAAAAACAAACTGAAGAGCAAGTGAGATGATATTCATTCATTCTAAACAGAGGCCTGCAAATTTCGCTCAAAAAGGAAAAAAACTTTTTCTGATACACTTAAAAAATTATCACTTATTAAAGATGATGATCCAAACTTTCTTATTTAAAAACTTATACCACTTATCTTAATTATGGTGCATCTAATAAGAACTTCCTCTAGAGCCAGGAAACCTTGCAAATAGAATATTCTGAAAGGGGGAGCTGAAGAAGGAAGTAACTGACCTAAGTTAAAAAGAGGAACAATTTCTAAAAAGCACGTTTGGTGCATAACCAAGAACAGGAGAGAGGTCAGCACACCAATCTTGAGGTATGTAAGAACCTACTTTAAGGTATTTGGATAAAAAAACATGATAAGAAATAACTGATGACTTGTGTCTTATCGAATACAGTTTTTAGAAAATTTGTCTCAGATGGAAAAATTTATAAGAAAGAGTGATGTTAAATGTGTGTGTGTGTATGCACATCTAAGCTTATGATTTTTTTTTTGTGTTTGCCTTGCTTCCTAATAGAAAAGCAGTGTGTGACTTTAAAGATTCCATTTTATTAAAATTTTATTATTTTTCAAGGCAAATGAATAGCTAGTTACTAGGTAACTGGTTGAAAGTACTTCCCAAAATAAAAACAGAATCTTCCAAACTGGATACAGTGAAACTCATTTAGGTGTTAAGGTTATTTGAAAGGTTTTTATTTAAAATAGAGTGGATCCTTGACTTATGAACTCAATTCATTTCCAAGGACTGGTTGAAACTCAAGTTCGTCAATCTCCTTCAAGGTCTCTCTTTTGTACAATTTTAGGACACACTATTCTTCCAGGCAGATCTTAGTGTCCTTAGAAAGATATTGGCCCAGGATTTCTCAATTAACCCCACAAAGGAAATTATTTTGTAATTTTCCTTCCAGAACTCTTTAAGGATTAAATGTGTATCTGAGACCATCTAGAAGCACAAGTAGCCAGCATTCAAATTGTAACTCAAGACTTTTGTCATATTAAAACTAAAATTCTACTTGTAACCCAAGTTGTTTGTATGTCAGGCTGGTCATAATCTGAGGGTCTACTTATATTTTTCCTAGGTCTATGTTTATATATCACAGGGCTTTTCTTATAAATTATGGAGAAAGGAACTGGATACATTTCTTTTGCTATAAGATTTCTTTTTGTTTGTACCTACATGCACATCTCATAGACAATTTTGTTTTTAGGGATGCACTGAAATGTCTACTCTGTATAGAACAACATGAGTAGTAAAAATAATCTCTCTTAGAAACTGAAAAGCCAATTTATTTCTTTTAATACCTAAGGTATAATAGTTACCCATCTCAATGCCTACTGCTACTCCTGTTGTAGATCAATACCTTTTTAAAAATTGGCTTAATCCCAATCATTATTTTGAACTATTTCATAAATGTATTTTAAATACTCTGGCAAAAAGTTATGTAAACAAATAACCATTATACCATACCACAAATTAGTTTGTGTGTGTTCCACAGTGGAAACAGTGTTCTAATGAGTAAAAGTCTTTTGGATATTTTCCCTTGAATGTACGTAACATGTTTGACCTTGTAATAAAGAGACCACACTATAAATCTTATGTGGTATACACACAGTTCTCAGCTTGAACTTCTGCTCCCCAAAATCCCAAGGAGATTAAAAGATGTCTGGAACTGGGGTGTCTATCGTTATGCTTTTATCAAAAAAGTTTATACATTTTCTGCACATAATATTCAATTTGGTTATACAAAATGCCAAATTGAAAATCTGTACATTGATATAATATCACCGTGAACAAATTTATAAATGTTCCCGGATGATACATAATGACTCCCTGATGGCTGGAAACTACTTTGTAGGATTTCTTTTTCTTATTTATCATTATTAATGCCATTAAGGCAGATCGCTCCAGTTATTAAATAGTTGATAAATTACCTATTATGTGCAAGTACTTGCATTGATGATACAAAGATAAATAAAATATGAGTCCCACTTCACAATAACCTAGAACTAATACTAAAATACAGTGATGGATACATTTGTAGCCATTTACATATATTAGTTAAGGGTAATAGGGGAAGTTTCTAGTGGATTACTGATTCAGTTTCTTCTTAGTTGTTCAAAAAGTTAACAACTTCAGTTCTGTACTTTATCATCTATTAAATGGTTATAACAACAGTCCCACTTCATATAATAGCTATAAGATTAAATGAGATAATCCATATAAATGTGTTTAGAAGTTGACTCAATATAAGCACTTAAATATGATTGATGATGACATTCAGTAGATGATAATAATCACCCTACAGGTACGAGTAATGATACTAGATATACCTATATCTGTGTCTAGGCTGAAAATGTATAGCAGTAATGTTTTGTTGATAAAATCATAGTAGAACATGCAGCCTTATTGAATGCTTCCCATTTTCTTCTTGACATTTAAAGTCGTCAACAGAAACACTCTAAGATTATCATAACTAAATTCAAGTTATTTGCTAGAAGATGTAAGAAGATTGAGGTTTGCAAAGATATTTTGTTTTACTTCAAAGTTCTCTTTTTATGTGTTATATATAAACAATATCCTTTAGAAAATATATCTTGAGTTTTAAACTATCAACACAGACATTAGATACTGTATTTAGAGTTATTTTAACTTAATTCTTCATTCACTAAATATTGATTCAATATCTTTTCTTGTGTTAGGTGTTATACAATTCTGTAGGAACATAAATATGAAAAAGGCTGATCCCTACTCACCATTTAACCAAGTAGAAAAACATGCAGTGTTTTGTCATCTAGGTAATCATGCTATAGGAGAAAATGGGCTCATTATTGTGGAATTAGAGAAGTGATTAAAGGAAAGACATAGCCCCTGAAGAGAGATAAGTATAGCTTCACAAATGGGGGATGACAAGTAAGGGAAATGATTGCACATGTATTCTCTTCTCCCATTTTTGCAATTGTATTCAGGATATTTTCTTTCTCCTGAAAATTGTTATCCTTATTGTCAAAAGCTATCAAATTCTTTTCCTCTCCTTACAATATCTAGCATTATATTCTACATTAAAAGTTGAATTTACTATGTGAAGGCATTTATGGTATTGGTAGACATAATAGTTTTAACTATATTATATATAAATATGCAATTAATATATTTTAAATTTATAACAGGTTTCTGGGCGTCAGATGATTGTTCAACCTTCTTTTTCTTGAGTTTTTTACTCTGCTATTATCTTCCACGAATTTCTGCTTCATTTTGTGATTTACTGATTAAAAAAAAGGAAGGGGAATGGAATAAAATCCCCCAATGTAGTAACTGTGCATTAATGCTTGTAATGCAAACAGCATCACCGACAAAGTCATCTCCCAAAACTGAATCAGTCTCACTTCTAGTTGCAACAGAACTTTGCCAGAATATATACTTTCATATCTCAAGTCACACAACATTAAAGAGCTTCCAAAGTCAGTCTGGAACAACATTGGGCAACAAGGAATTACAACCATCTGTACCTGGGAATTCATTAACAACACCACCAAGTTTCTGCAAAAATGTTGACAAGCTATGGATATACTTCAGTGTCCATTTATATGAGCATTTTCCTTCTTGCATTCTTGGTGGTATGTGGAATTGGTTGTGTTTGTCACTGGAAACACCACACCACACAATTTACCTTACCAAGGTTTTTGCAAAGGAGAAGCAGGAAGAGAAAAGATTATAAGAAAACACTCTGCTTGAGTCCACATATTGTTGGCTTGAGTCACAAAGTCTCAGTTGAAACCAAAGACCACAGGTCTATTGACAAGGGAAGTAGGATGCATGACCACTATGAAAATATGGTAGCGGATCCTCCCAAAGCTAAAGAAGAAAGTGACAAGGAACTATACGAAAACACTCAGCCACCCAATTTTGAGGAGCACTTCTATGGAAATGAGGCATCCTCTGAGTACTATAACTTCCAGAAGCTTGGTACATCTCAGGTTCCTCAAGATGAAGATATATACATTCTTCCAGACTTGTAATAGCTTTGAAAAATATTGAGTTTCCTTATTGAAGAAGTATTCACTGGGAACTTTAATGTAGTGTTGTCATTATTGATCCAGTTCTTATAAAACTCAGTGCTATCTCTGCTATCTTTAATCCTTTCTGTGTATAATATTGTAGAGTAATTCCAGATATCCTCTTTTTGATGTTTGCCCTGGATTAAATCTGTACTAGGTTGTACTGATGCTTCCTTCAAAATATTACTGCTATGTCTTTCCTTTCTTTTTTTTTCTCCATCATCTTTTTCTGGCTTAGAATTTTTGCTAGACTTCTGGTAGACTTCCTGCCTCCAGTTTATATCTAGTTAATCAGTTGCCCAAGATGCTGCCAAATTTATCTTCAGAATGTATTTCCAATGGTCACAGTACTCCTTTGCTGTAAACCTTTTAATGCTCTTCTTTGCAAAAGACATTAATGCTCATAATCCTAGACTCCACATTCATTATATGTCACAGTTGGCTTTGATTTACTTTTGTAATGACTTCTGCTACTCATCTGTCATGTCTGTGCTTTCATCAGAATCATCCCCAAACCTGTCAAATTCATCCCTCCTCCAGAGATTTACTTTCCTGCTCTTTTCAGCCTACCTAAGATGACAATTTTTTATATGAGTGTTCTGAATCATTCCAAACCTACATTTAACTTCATTTTCTGATACTGTGTTCTGTTATTTGGGCATTTAAACATGTGAATGTTTGCTATGTGTTTTATTACTTAATGTCATATGACAACATTCTAAAATGCTGGCTAAATAGAAAGTATTTGCCTCCTACTTGAATTTTTAGCTTCATATCAGGCATTAAATACTTGTTCAATTGACAAGAATTTAACTGTACATTTTACTAGTTTTTAAGAATATCTAATAAATGCATCCATTATTCAGCTATGTATGGGATTTTTTGGTACTGAGGATTGAACTCAGGATCTTGTGCTTGTGAAGCTGGCGGCGGAAATACTGAGCGACATCCCCAGCTTATGTATGGAATTTTTATTAAGTAATTTCCATCTATTGGTTGTGGCTGTGCACATAGGGGATGGGGAAGTGGGGTTGTTACAAAAGTACAAAGAGAGGCACAAGTCCTGAACATATAGCCTATTGGGAAAGAGAAGATAATAAACAACAAAAAATAAGTAGATAACTTTTGTGCTCGTTGTAAAGCAATCATATAATCTCTAAACCTACTCTTTAATGTACTGCTTTGAATGCTCAGTCCAGGGCTCTGCAGATTCCCTTTATTTTTTGCCAGGTGAATCTATATTAAGCTCTGTGATAAGTAATAGAATTTGGCAAAACAGTCTTGCTGCTGCTTCTTCTCATTGTCCCTAGCAGGTACAGCTGAGTGTATCCATTCCAACATCACCAACCCTTTGCAGTTTCAAATTTCTTCCAGCACTGCAGAACCAACCTAATGTACTCCATCACCAGCCTGTCAGCCCTGTCCCTTAGCACCTCAGCCCTGCCCCAAGCAGCTAAAGCCCTTTCTCTGATAACTGGTAATCCCCAGCCTTAAGGATGCTACTTCCTTTACTGACTATCTTTGTGACACCTCAAGGTCCTCCCTTTTTTGCAGTCTGCTCATACTCATTCAGGTGGTTCTCCAAATTTTCTCCATTAAAACCAACTGATAAAATTGCTCTCTCCCCAAATGACCTTGAATAATAAGGATATATATATATGTTTAAAATGCTTCTGTTTTGAGAGTGATGGAGTGGGAAGAAAGAGGATTTTAAATTTTTTTCTATTTTTGGTACTAAGGGTAGAACTCAAGACCTTGCACCTGCGAGGCAGGCATGGTGCCACTGAACTAAATCCCCAGCCCAAGAGTATTTTAATTTTAATAAATGATCATAGTAGGCTTCTCTTTGGACACACTTAAACTGAGACTTAGGGTGAAGAGAAGCTAGTCCACATAGATGTGATAAGCAGAGCGTTAAGAATGGACCCAGCATGTAAAAAGTACCCGAGACATGAGAGGGTGTGTGGTGCTCTTGAAGCTTATAGAAAGCCATTGTGGCTCGAACTTCCTGAGTGGAGATTAAAGTGACACCTAGTGTACTGGTGAAGGAAGAAACAGCAACACACAACTCTTAATTCTTGTGTGACTTTGACTCTACTAGAGGTGCTTTCAGAGCAGTAAAGAGTTTTAAACAGAGGCCATGGTAACATTTGTATTTTTTAAAAGAGCTGGGAAAGAGGCAAAATGGAAGTGGGTGGGACAGTTAAAATGCTTTTACATTTAATTTAAACTGAAGTGGCTACAATGTAGATAGAGATGGTAACAGTGTTACCCTATTCTTTAACAGAAAGGGCACTGGACTCTCTGAGGAAATCAATGTGTGCCTTTAGTGAGGAGAATGGTAAAATCAGGGATTATGATAAAGAGAAGAATTCAGAAGCACCACGGTATTTCTGGTTGACGCAACAGGAACAATTATGCAGTACTTTATGAAGATAGGGAAGACATAAGGGTAAACAGATTTGGAGGCTATATCAACTAGGAATAATGCACACTGCCCACAGGAAAAGAATGAGATTATATCATCTTGGACACTTATAGTTTCACTTATTTCATATAGAAAAGACACTATAGTTAGGTATTTGACATCTAGCGTACTAGCTCAGTAATACTATAGAGAAAGACCCAGGCTCTCTCTATAAGGTATTTACTCTGTGCCATCTTTAATTTTCTTTTAGTATCATATGGGGAATCCCTAAGGCTACCATATGAGTGCTAAAGTTCAGAAATTATGTAATGCAGAATCTTCATTTGTGTTCCAGCCAAGTAGAATAAGGAGAAAAAACATTGCTAAGAGATGTTTATTTATTTATATCTCATTATCCAGAATTGTGTGATGCACATACAACCCAGATAATAAGAGTGGGTGGGAAAATAATTTTTGACTTTTGATAAAGAAGGGAAAAGTAAGTATACTTTGACTCTACCAACCTAGAATACTTGCCATGGGTGCACAAATCAGTTTTGGAAATGCTTATCTGACATGTCCAGACATATGTTCTGAAATCTAAGTAGCAATATCCAGTTTGAAGTTGCATAACATGTTTCAATTTTGGAAGTGAGGTCCTAAATAGAGGTGCAAGTTTAACAGCCTTAGGTATTTAGGCCGTATTTAGAAGAACAGAAAGGGATGTGATGGCCTGGGAAAAAACAACAGAGAACAAACATTAAGGACTCAAAAAAAAAAAAAAAAAAAAAAAAAAAAGAAAAAAA